GCACAATACCAAATGATCAAAGTACAGACTTATAAAATAACTTCATACCAATACTGATGTTTCTATGGGATAAAATGATTGCACACCATAAATAATTTTCCAAGAATTATATTTAAACTCTTCTGAGTGTATAACAGAACCACATTTTGTCAGTACAGTCTGTTCACTATGAACTGCAAATCTGAATTTATCCCAAAGGCCAAAAAACCTAGTAACCTAAACCTATATATTAACATGAATCATATTTCACTGCTAAATTATGGCTGTCATCAAGTAACATATAGTGTAACAGGTTTGGCAGGTGTTATTCTAGGTTCTTATTCAAGACTCACTTATATTCTGCCAAGTCTCTCCAATAAATCTGAAATTTCCCTGTGAGTATATTGCTTGGACCTGTATGCATGCACACCCCAGGCAGAGTAACTTTTTACCCTATGCAACAGAAGAAAACATCATATTTTTAAGTGCAATATACACTCTATAGTCCCAGTGTTGTGGGGTATATCTCTATAGAAAGCCTATATAAACAGCTGGGCAGAGGATGACCGTTGCCTATACACAATGCACATATGCACACGTGCGCATACACACACTCTGCTCAATACTTAATACTCTGCACATATCTCTGCCATATGACCTCACAAGGGTTAAAGAGGGGAATTCCACTTCTTATAGGGCTGGTCCATAATCATCCATGATTTACAGCCTATGCATGATGGGGCATATATAAAGTGTGTGTATATATCATACTATATGTAAATGTAATGCAATGTATGAGCGTCAGCATGTCACATTAATTTTATGTCTAAAAAACAAAACAAGAGAACTTATGAACCTTTCATGTATAAATTAAATCTATATGGGAGGGAGATTCCCTTTCCTTATTTCTCATATTATCATAGCTGGTGTTCCAATTGCTTAGAATAACATGGCATTCGCCAAGCACTGCAGTGAGAATAGACAAGGGTTCGCCATTGGAAACAGCTTTACAACAGAGTTTAGTGGGGCCAAGGAACCTACAGATAGCTATAAAACAGCCATAGTCCATTCAAAAGATGTTAGTGGGACATTTACATAAAAATGAACATTGAAATACGCCCAAACAATCTGTAATAGCTGTAAACACAGCATTGACAATAAAGTGAACAACAGGATGAGTATTTTATTGCTGTGAAGGCTCCTATTTCCTTGGCACGATCGGACTAGGAAAGATGCTTCCAATTGACCATTTGCATTCAAAATCTGGACTTTGACAGTATTACATTTTAGTTACATTAGCTAAGACTTTAACAGAAAGACAAAGGTTGTAAAATATTAGAACATTCCTTAAAGAATGATATAAACCTTGGACTCCCACAAACTCTGATTTTGCAATGTGAAAATGCAGATTACAGCATACATAATGAGAAACACGCAGTGAGGTCACTGACCACGGGCTACATGACGACAGAAAACTGCATTTTAAATGTGCTCTTTTGCCCTGCTAACCCATAACCACTGACAACATGTTTGAATTCAACTTTTAACAATTCAATTCCTTGTTTACTCTCAAATACATTCTCCACAAGCCTTAAGATTTATATCATGAAAAAACAAATTGTTACCCAGAGTCATTGGCTACTTTGTATGTGAATAACACGTCTGAGGAAATAAATTAGGCACACACATCCACAAGCAAAGACACACTCATACCCACAAACAAACACATTCTCCTTTCATATATTTCTCACAAGAATGTGGATATGTAGAGCACTCCAGCTCTCATTAGAGGAAATACAAGGATGGAGTATGGATTTCATGCACATGCAGGAGACTTGTGCTTACATGAGCAGTATTTTATGCATCATTGTTGAGTCCATAGCATATGGAAGTTCTTCCATATGCTCCAGAACATCCTGACAATAGCCACAATTCATCATATCTGCTGGGATAAATCACAGACAATCCCACCACTGCAATGCCTCTCTGTGGGGACAGCCTCTCCCCTCTCACACCCACCTGATGCTCTGCTTCCCACAGTGCAGTGGAAACAAAACCTTTATTACACTGCTGCTGCAGCTGGCTTGGATAGTGCATAATAAGAAGCTCCCAAAATTCAAGCTCATACCTGCCTGTCATCACCCTTACCAAGCTTGATATCTGAACTTTTGTACCTCCACACAACAAGCTTTAATACTCAAAAAAGTTGTTAGATGATCAATTAATCAACAGAAAACACAATCAGCAACAATTTTAAAGCTGCACCATCATCATCTCATGTTTACAGTTTGCTTCTATTTTACCAAAAATAATCAATTATTTCCAGAAATATATCAAGTTAAAACATTTGCAGTTTCAAGGAGCTGAAATGTGAGAGTTTGGAGCTCAAATCTATTATTTCTATTAAGTAATTTAGCAGCTGCCAATCAGGGGATTCAAATAAACAGTAGTGTGCTCCTCAGGGATTACCACCCGTCACCGTGTGTTTTCTCCTGTGGTGTTTACACAAACAAAGCACATAGAGAAAGTCAGTCAAGCAAAATTCCTGTGTGTTTGTATTTGTCTGTGTGGAGAGACATGGAAGTGACAGGCAAGGATTTCTTCTAACCAGGACAACACCTAAATACACTTCCTCCTTAAGATATTCTGTGTACACATCAAACACACTGGTAACATCCACATAAACTGACAAGGTGAGGAAGAAAGGGTGGAAAAGAAGTAAATTATGGACAGGAAAGGCAGACATTTCCTTTCACCTTAAAAATGTCCATTAAGTTGTATGTTATAATCACTATCACATGTTTACCTGCCAACAGCTGGCAACAAGTCTATGGAAAACACTCCTGGTCTCTGCAGCTCTAAAGGCAGTAACTTGATACAGTAACTGACATTAACTGATGTCTCAAAACACACCAAACCAACTTAAATAAACTACAAAGTGAAATCATAACTTCATATTTAAAATGCTGAGTCAGGCCACACCTTGTCTTGAGCCCAGGAGGGGGGCAAGTGTATTTGTTTTCTGTTACAATGTGGAAAAATGTTGTACTGTGCAGGGGGCCAACTGAACCCCTCCCAGAAAAAACACATGGGGCGGAAACACATTTGGTATTTCTAGCTATTTCAACACAAAAAACATTGCAGCACTACAGTGAATCCTCTGCTGGTGGTGTCCAATATCAAACCATGACGACCTCAACTCCAAATATCTTATCTCCACATCCAGATATTTGACTTGACTCAGGATGAGTGAGATTCACTTTCTATAACAACAATCAAACTTTAGATGAGCACTTGGTTTTCTGTCTTTCCAAGCAGCTGAGGGGGGGAACCAAAGCAACAGTATTTATATTTTTAAAGTGCACTACCATTGTGTCTTCTTAGGCAGATGTACAACAGGAGGGAGAATGACTGGGGGAAAGGGAAGTGTCCATAGCACACCTTTGTGGGTGTTCTCAGGCAACTGATTCATGGATGCAAGACACTGACAGAACAGAAATGTAGAGAATAATATTAGAGCCTTTGAAGTGCAAGACATTTAAGAACATATCCCCAACAATAACCCCATAAAACCCCATTCAAAGTGTGGGGAGAGTGAGGGTGCTGCAGTGAGAGGTTTGGGAGGAAGGAAACACACACAGTGGGTGTGTGTGTGTGAGGGTTCTGACAGCCGCGAGAAAACACCAATTAACACCTAAAACAAACATGCATATGCAAATCCACACCGGCAAAAACCTACACAAAAGAGACGCAAAACACTCGGCACTCACCTTACAGCCAATCTCATTTGCAGCAGTGTCACCTGTGTGACAAGTTACAAACTTACATTTGGTGCCGTTTCTGTCCATTCCTCTGCTGGTGCTGTCCATGTGAGGGAGGGCTGGTGAAGTTTAATGCAGGCCCATGAGTGAGTGAGTGTGTGAAGGCGTGTGAAGCCACTGCTGCCAGACACGGTCGCTGCTGATCCGCTGGTCGGGAGAGTTGAGGCGGGCTGCTTTCTCTGCTGGGTCCTAGCGTCAGCTGCTGCTATGAGCTGCCTATGCAATTAAGAGCTACATAGATATGATGATTTCTGAAGTTTTACCAATAGTTTTACCACTTTAAAGCCTGTAGCTTAAGAAGTAATAGCCTTTCCCGGAAACAAGGTGAAACAACTAGTCTGTCCAAAGTAACAAAATTCACCTACCAGCTTCCCCAGTGCTTACTAATTAACACTTTATGTCGAGTTTGTCTAATTAATATAAAAACCAATGTGTAAAAATTACACTTAAGTCTTAAGTTAGCTCTTTAAGTTTTCTTATTTCTGCCACTGCCAGACCCATTCTATTGGTTGCCTGGTGATATCAGGTAAGGTAATTTAACAAGAAAAAGTGTTGAAACTGATTACACCAAAAATGTTAAGTAAAACAAACTCAATTTTGTAAGTTAAAAATACTTCATCAGGTAACTTTAGTAATTTTTAATTTTAAGTTGCACTGACCTAATATTAAACATTTTATGTGTACAACAAAATACCTATGAAAAAGTACTTGATCAGGATAGTTTCTGTAACACAAAACTTAATTTAGAAGAATCTTTTTAACTGGCTGGCTGCTTGTCTGCATTACAGTTTACAGAACTTTTCATCTGGCGAATATGCCCAGTAATTCCCAAAATGTCGAACTATTCCTTTAAGTAAATATTTTCCAAGTGGATTGTTCACTACAACAAATAAAAAAGAGGAGGCTGAGTTTTTCTTTTCAAGTTTAATTTTTAGTGACAAAATCAAAAATAACAGTATTCAAAGGAAGTAAAGACTTCAACAACCCTGGATCTTTGTCAGTGTGTTAAATACCTTGCAGAGTGTTTCATTGTGAGTGAATATAATCTCTGTAGCTACAAAATTATTGGATTATCATTCTAAAAGAAAATAAATTATAGTGAATGTAAATGTATGGATGACTACAGTTCTCGTCCTAAAACATTTAGTCATCATTCTATTGCGATGAGGTGGAAAACATGGAGCAGGAGGACTGAATTGGTGTTTCCTTTATCTATTTAATCTACTGGATTGCACATTCTTTTAGGTTACCATACAGCTGCAAAGTGAACTGTATCTATTGGTGACCTTTAACTATTTAACCAGAACATTACATGGAAGTGATCTGCTAATCTTTATATTTGCATTCTCACTTTGGTTTTCATTTGCACGCAAATCAACGCAGGTCACACATACAACTGAAAAAAGTTGTGTCCACCTCAGATTGTTCAATTCTATATCAATTAGTGTAAACCAGAGGGACACAGCATTTCATATGAAAGAGCAAAAAACAAGAAAACAGGTAAACAAAATGCATCCTTATAAACCAAAGCAAAGTAATGCCGTATGCTCACCCACTCACGCTTCTCATCTAATCATTCACCCCGATAAAGTGTCATAAATGATATACTGTATCTACATTCTACTCATTCAGATTGCTGGTGCTGCACACTCGTAACTAAGAGAGCATAACAAATAAGGCAAAGCCAAAATTCTCCTTTTTATGTTTTCGTACTGCGGCTCTGGTCACAGACATCCCTTCATGTGGCCTTTACACAGGCTCAGTCATGCCTTTCCTCCCTCCTTCAAGCTTAAGAAAAGCACAACACTACTGTACTACAGTCTCTATTGCTTACACACCACCCCAGCACACAGTAACAGTTTATCAGTCCTTCTGTGCATAATGTCTCTTGTGGCCTTCCCTCGGTATCTCTGAAGTCCACGCTGGTGTGACCAGAATTTGGTTCGTCATATGAGGAGATCTAGAACAGGTTCTCAGCCATGGCAGTGAAACTCAGTAGAAGTCTTCCTATCTCTTTCTTCCCTCCTCCTACAGTCAGTTAAGTTTCTCGCTCTAGTTATGGCAGTATTCAACAGACGTTCATGTGTTATTAAAACAGTCGGGCCTGCTTCTTGAGCTCATTTCTCTTCCACAGAGCCAGCCGGTCAAAATCTTCCACGGTCATGCCGAACACTTGGGAAAACTCCTCTGGGGAAAGGTGACGCTGAGAACACAAGGATAAAAAGACGACACACTGTTATAATTTTAATCTGTCCATTTTTTTTTACAGTACCCAATTAAGTCAACAATGATGGCTTGTCAGAAGTTTCTGGGTAGAAGACGGGTGGGGTTCTGCTGTGAGTATAACCACAGTATTTCTTAATCTTGGCTAAGGTGCTTTTCACAACGGATAACTTCACACAATGGATAACTTCAGTGAACAGTTAGCCTAATGGTTCATTCATAACTTACTTCTAGCCTGGCTCTATCTACATCTTTGGGAAGCCTGTTGCGACCTCTGGTGGTGACAATGAGCGCTTCATAGGGGTAAATCTGCAGAGAGGGAGAGGCAGCCATGCTTAATCAAAGTTCACACACATAGTTACAATAACACTGGGGTTATTCAACATATAAGCAGACTCAATTGGCATAATCTATTCAAGTGATTATTGCAAAAACGTACCTTGTATTCTGCTGGGAGGAAAAAGAGAGAAAATTCAGAAGTCAGTACATTCGAAAAAAGCATTGAATTAATCCCTTCAATCTAATAATGAGTAGGTGTTTTAAATTCATATTAAATTACCTCTGCTTCCCCAGTTGACCTCACTGCCACTGTCATACTGGTACTGGTAGCAATCTGCACTCTGAGGCTGTATAGAGGGACATCAACTTATAACACAACATAAACAGATACTGATATATTTTTAGCCTTGATGATTTTGGTAATAACAACAGTCATATAATATACATATAATATTAAATTTTAAGATGCGAGACCCATTAAAAGTAAGCCCCGCTGTTCACTGTGGTCTCACCCTCTGGATGCCGTTGCGTCCATATCCTGGTAGTGAGGCAGACTTGCAAACAAAATCTAAAAACAGAGAAAACAATAAATAATAATAAATAGTCAATTTTACAGTTAAGCTTAAACTTCCAATTATTTTCATGTAGTTTGGCACATTGAAATCATATAATCAGTGCCTGGTTACTGCCAGAAGATGGCGCTCATGATGAACCAAAAAATCCTAAAGTTCCAGATGTGTGCACATAATAGTGGAGCTTTGTTGATGTAAGGTCATTGAATCCAGCACAAACACAGAATTTAGAAAACCAATGCCAAACTCCATTCAGAAACTACAAATAAAAACAGTTTTGTTGAATAAGCCAGAATCACAAACTGAGGTAGGTAGGTAAAATAGAGGTTTTCATTTTAGAATATTTATTAAATATAAATGATAAACTCACCACTATCAGCACTGTACTGAGACCGGGGAGCTGTAAAATAAAGGGATAATATAGTTACATTACATCTTTTTTGGTGCAAAAATACAAAAATGCTGTAGTTCATTTACCCTGCTCTAAAATTAGATTTAATTCCTCAAAAAAATATTCAGGGTTGCTGTAGAGCTTTGACAACCGTCAGTCTAGTTAGAGGCGTAACAAAGAAACACAAAAGGAGCAAGTTGGGTACCCATCAAGCCCTAGGAGGAACACAAAACATCAAAGGGGCAATAAGGCAGAAAGAGGCCAGGCAAGACTGGTTCAGGGAAGAAGGGGAGAAGAAAAAAAAACATAAAAACAGCATACAAAGACACACATGCACATTTCACCATCTAATCGCACAACACAGCTTATAGGGTTACAAGCCTTTGTTGCCTTTCAACCACAGCCAACAGATTCCCATTCAGTTGTGTCCCTTCCCATCAGAGAAACAGCTTTAATGAGGGATCTTACTGCTCATAAATAAACCAGGATATGGGACACCAGCTGTGAGAGTGAGAGAGTGAGATAGATACACAGATAGATAGAGAGATGGAGAGTTAACAGAGTAGAATATAGAGAGTGATATCAGGAGAGAGAAAAAAAGCTGATATAAGCACACAAATTAAAGAGGGAGATGGTGAAAGAGATGGAGCAAGGAAGTGAAAGGAAGAGGAAACCAGTGGGTAGTGATGAAGACAGCCTGGTGTCTGAATGTCATCGGCCAAAATAACAGTCCCAATGCACTGCGCGACCAGTGAAGCTTGGTCCTTACAAGCAGAAACAACCCTGGTAGCTTCAGGTGCTGCTTTATCACATCTGGCACATCTGCACACCTGGCTGAACACTTTTCTTTCGGTAGCTTGAAATGTTCAGAATCAGTGTGATACCCCCCGACCACAATGACAGGTCACATCTGCTGCTGCTGCTGCTTCTCTACCATCAGTTCGGCAGCAGCTGCTCAGCTAGCTCAGCATCTTCCCTTCTCAATAAACCACCCCGCCTGCAGCAGCCATGACCCTCTCTGACCTGCATTCACAACCTTACCGCCCTCTCCCCCAAACCCAAATGACAGCAGATATTGAGGCCCATAAAAAGCCCTTGTGGCAACATACAGCATATGATCACACTGGGAGGGACAAAGACATGGCTGCACAGGAATACAGTCAGAGGTGCAGGCGTTGGTGAACTTGCAGAAACAAGAGACAAAGAGGGAGATGCGTAGGGGGCAGGGTGGATCCTTACATCCGTTGACAGTGTTGTTGTACGCCGTGGTGCCGTAGCCTGTAGTGTTGAGTGTTTCCTTGCTCCCACTACGAGAATTCCTCGCACTGCCCCAGGGGTCGTTGTCATAGGAACCAGATCTGGCTTTCATCTCCTCCTTTAGGATCATCCTCCCGATGCCACTCCCAATCTGAGAGGAGGCGAGGAAAGAGGCAGAAGGGGGAGAAAAAAGAAAACTGCTAATTTAATGTACAGCAAATGCAAGATGGATACAAAAATAAAAATAAAGAAAAGGACGATAGTTTAGGATAAAAAGTGCATAATTTATGGGTGTTTCCGAGGAGGTGGCTTTCTTCAACCAGATGTGGAAGAAAGAGAGAAATAAAATAATGAAGCTCTTACTCTTTGAAGACTGTGACTCCAACTCTCTTCATCTCCTCCTGTTGAGAAGCGTCTTCTCGGCATCCGATAGGCTGAGAGAAGGAAACAGATAAAAGAGATTCCCTTGTATGAATATAGAGCAGAGTGGAAGACAGTAAAATGGAGGGTGAATGAATAAATATGACAACACAGAGTTACAAAAGGAAATGTACTTCATTGTCTGTCTTCGGTCCAGTGAAAAAAGAAAAAATGTAGCTTACTATGCAGCTTCTCATTCTAAACTCAGTAAAATTACACTTTTTCCTACCCCTGGGGGAACTGGTGTATGGATAGTAGTCAGACTCTGACTGGGTGTATGGCTCGGGAGAGAAGGTGGACAGTCGGGAGGATCTGAGGATGTCCTCGCTGGTCCTGCTTTTGGTGGCTGCGTCCACGTGATTGTCTGTTAAGAAATGGATCAAGTTAGGAAAGAAATGAAAAACAGACAGAACCAAAGTAACTGGTAATTTTGTTAAAGACATTTTGGGGGAACTTTTGGATATATATTCTTATTCACTGCAGTAAATAAAGGGCTGTCCACACCAAGAACAATAACTATGGCAACAATTTGAGCATTCTATAAACAGTGGCCCAAAGCACTGCGCACTCCAGCTGTATTGGTGGCTTAGGAATATGGATATTAATGAACTGTTATGCTGTTTTGCACAGAGAAACAAAAAGAAAACAAGCATATGGGGTCACAACATTTTTTAAAGACGAGAAGGAGACTTTTATTAATTCTTTTGTATGAGTCATCATCAATTTGCATCAATCATCAAAGAGGATATGAACTCACTTCAGAGACCACATCAAGACAACCAACTGTTTGACTGTAAAATGCCATTTTAATGTGTTATTTGCAGCCTAATATTATGTTATAAAAGTGTTTAATAAGTTGTATAGTTGAACGTGACACCCGTAGTGTCATTGTTTCTATTCAAATCGCACTGATACCGTTTTCCTCTGTTATTGTGATTATTGTTGTGATATGTTCTAAGCAATCCACTTAAGTTAGGTCCATTTTTAAAATTATATATTTACAGTTGTTGTCCTAGTTATTATTCTTGGTGTGCAGCACTTTAGATGAAAAGATTGATACCACTGGAGATGTATCAATCTTTTTTATCTTGCTCTCGGCAAGAAAGTGAATAAGCGGATTTCCCAAAATGACGATAGACTGCACTGTAGTGTGCTAAGGAGGAAAATGTGTTAATGCATATCACAAAGATGTACAGCAAGAGAATCCATTAACACCACAGTCATCATATCCACCATTCCTGTCACATGAGATCAATATTTCAACAGCATGAAAATAACCAGCATAAACATGACTTCAGTTACTGCTCAGCCTGAGGTACGCAGTCATTTCATGAGTGGTGCGAGGTAATGATACTGATGCCACTCTGCACTAAAGCACAGTCAATGGAAGTCAATGGGGGTGACATGCAGTGTAATGTCAGATAGATCGCTCTTCACTCTGTTAGTCATTAGCCATGCCGGCCCCAATCCATGATCCATTGAATTCCTATATACATGATGCATGACACCAATGGCAGACATTCTCATCTTTGGGAGACACACTTCCAGCTTGACGAAAGGATGAGCTGCTAGACACACAATACTCTGAGCAAAGTTTTACAGCAGATTGAACCTTCTGTCAGAGGAAGTATGGATATAGAGTATTGACATGGGATGACAAATACAGGAAGAGACACACACACACAGACATATGCAATTTATATCTACCGCCAGCGAGTGAAACAGCAAGAGGAGGGAGATACTTACAGTGGCAAGGTCACCGGGTAAAGTGGAGCAGAAGGTGGAGGGAAGTGAATAAAAGTGATTGGATGCAATAAAAAAGAGGTGAAAAGAAAAGGGAAACATTATTGGAGCGTCCCCAAGGGAGACGTGACAATGTGAGATCTTTGCTACCTATACGGAGAACAAAGACAAAGCCAAACAGGGGTCTGATACAGCTTCTTTTCTATACAGGTAGCAAACTTGTTAAATGAATAGTACATAACGGGCCTTTAACGCACACAGCAACACAACTTCACATGTGTCTGTTGTGGCTTTGGATTTACATCAATCCTGTTTAGTGCTGAAACGAGAAAATAATAATCAATAGCTGTTTAGGAAGACATAAAGTATGAGAAGGATCAGAGTGACTGATGTTCAAGTGTGTGCTGAATGTCAGTATTCTAACAAGGCAAGCTTAACGGTTTTTGAACTTGCCTCTTACAGTACGTAGATGCTTGTTCTCCATAAGAAAAAATGTGTCTATGAGTGGAAACATGGTGGCCAGTGATGTACTAAGTATAGCTGAGAAACATAGAAGGGTGAAAGTGTCAATACACAGGTTGACACAGTTTACTAACTCCCCCACAAATATCAACACATACAGTACAGAACAACATGCAGGACCACAACAAAGATAAACTATGCTCCATCAAGAGACCTTAAGACTCTCAGCTGAAAAAGCGTTTTCCAGTATAATGTGACAAGGGGATAGTAAATCTTTTTCTCATGAATGTTTATACTGAAGAACACTATCCAGATGGCTGAAGTGCATTTCAGTTTAATGACTTGTAAAACAAGGCAAAAAGAGCATCTTGTGTTAACCGCACTACTGTGCTATTTGACTGAACGACAACATAAATCCACACAATTAAGAAATCAGACTTCCCCTCTCACGTACTCCCTCTGTTTTCTAAATAAAACAGCTGTCTCCTGATTCAAACAGTTACAGTAACTTAAATCACACACCGACCACTGGTTAACTAGGCTAGGCTGAGAAATACAATAAAAAATGTCTCCACAGCAATTCAAAAGTTTTAATACAGTTCTCCATTGTGCTTTGTTCTATTGTTCTGTTATATTCTGGTGAATCGTGTGTCCTCAGAGTCCCATGTACTCAGCGCTTGTCATGCTTGAGCAAACTCCACTTCATTCACGGTCTATCCCAGCCCCTTTTCCCGACAAGAACCTGTCGTGCTGAGAGAACTGCGACCAAGAGGCAGGCATGCGTTTCTGCTTATAGTATGGACACTAGACTTTTACAAATGCAGTCATTCTAATTGCCTGATCTTTATCTTCAATTTTGAAAAGAGTTGTACAAGTAGAACTCTATTTCCTTTGTGCATTTATTAGAGTCAATCCTTTCCATTTATGCGGTTTTGTTACTGATGGCTTCAATTTCAATGATAACTGGAACATCAATACTAATAAATCACAAGGGGCGGTTGAAAAAACATCAATAGGTCAGTAAAAACATCTACACCGAGTACTCAAGCACAGCATGACTAAACTGACAAGAGGACAGGCAGGCTAAGGCGAGCTAACTGCACTGTACCCGCTCTCGTATAGATGGGAGGCTTCCTGTAGATGTTGGGGTCCCCTGTGGCTGAGGAGAGAAAGAGGAGATGGAGAGGTGAAACATGGAGGAGTAAAGGAGGAGAGGATGTGAGTTTCTGTTGGGGTGATCAGAGGTAAGAGAGGTAAGAAAAATGGTCATAAAGGAAGGTGAAAGAAGGTAAAGATGCAGTATGAGGGGAAGAATATGCCAGAGCAATTATGTGTGGTATAAAAATACGACTCAGTCACATTTTCACACCCCCTCATTCCCACGGAACTCAAAATGACCTTCGTGAATGATTTGCATCACTGAATAATGTCTGATGAAGTCCTCCCCATGGAGTAAAAATTTATGAGATTATGAGAAGTGCGATGAGGAGATGAGGAGTCCTACCTGGCACATGAAAATGTTTAGGGGGCTGGATTTTGGTGGGTGTGCTTGACCGCCCGTCTTGGCCGTAATAAGGTGAACTCCTGCCACTCTCAGAGCCTGCAGCCAGCCACAGCCAATCACAGCAAAGGAAACATGGGCATGAAGGAAGTCAACACAAGTCTCATCCATGCAGATGAAAACCAAAACAGCCTAAACATTCATTCAAATTACAAAGTGACCTTTTCCACGTGTGTTATGACAAAGGTTATTTACTTGTCTTCTTATGACAGTAATTACAGTGTCACTGCACATGTGTAAGAGTTAAATGAAATGACAGCAAAGGAGCAACTGCAGCGACAGCCAAAGTGTCAGGCATTCTACCCTAAGGCAGCAAATCTGTAAATGTTTTGTCACCACTGATAATCTATGATGGCTTATTTGTTAAAATTTAAGAGTGGTGATGACATACAAATGGAAATGACAAGCAGTTTGATCTCTCTTAAAGGAACAGTTCAACAACTGCAATTACAATTGAAACTTGTAAAACAACTCTTATCTATGCTAAATATGTAGGTACAACCAGGTGTTGTAGGTAAGCTTAGCATAAAGACTGGAAAATAGGAAAACAGCTGGTTAAAATCCTGAAATCCTGTAAAGCTTACTAATTAATATGTGATAGTTAGAGTTAGAGAAGAGTTATATGTGGGACGATTCCTTGGTCAGGAGCTGAAGTCTCCCTTGCTTGTCTGAAAACCTGACGGTGAAGATAAGTTCCTGGTACATTTGACCTTCGGACATAGCCAGGCAAGCAGCTTCCCCATCTCTTTATGCTATGCTACGCTAAGCTAACCAACTGCTTGCTGAACAAAGACATATGAAATTGGTATCGATCTTGTCATCTGAACATCAGCAAGAAATCAAAAAAGCATATTCCATAAATTGTTAAACTATTCCTTTAAACGACTTAACCTCAAAATTCAAAAATTACTCAGAAACTCCATAAGTACTTAAATTTTGTTCAAAGTGCATTTCATATTAAGTACAGCATGATTGACTTCATTTCATATTCAAGGTTATGAGCTGACAACTAGGAGTGAATACCACCTGACTCACCAGGGTAGCCATAGTGCTGCGGAGAGCGAGGCATGATAGGTGACATGCCTTGACGACTATAGGTCGGCGAGTCAATATAACCTGGACTGGAGCATCGCCTCTGCCTTATATCCAGGCTGTCATAGTCCTGAAAAGACAAATAAGACAAGGTAGATGTGAAAGAAGAACAGGGAGGAACGGGGAGAGGACTAGCTTAGTAAAATGAAAATGACAACGTTTCACTCATATCAAACTCGTCTTAAGTGCTCTGCTACTTAGGGAGGGAGGAAGAATGCTTACCTGAGAATAGGGAGAGAGTGTCCCGAGTGACTGAAGAATCGTGGGGGAAAAAAGAGTTATTATTTATACAGTGGCACCGTGATGAAACAAAAAAACAGTTGATCATATATCATGGATTTTACAGGACCACAAGAAAAGACCAATCCTTTACAATGCACTTGTTTTATCCTATGTGGATGATTGGTGAGGTTTTCTGCATTATTTTACTGTCAGCTCAAGGAATATAAAACTATCAATTAAAGCTTAAGAGATTGTGTACAGATAAAGCTAAAGAGTTAAAGCTAATAAGCACTTTATATCTCTTTGGCTTCATCTGTACACAATCTGAAATACTATTAATAGTAGGCACTATCAATACTAGGCACTACTGGGCATGAATTAAGAGGTTGTTTTTCACTTCCTGTCTTAAAAATGAATGCAAGGCAACATACTGTTATGTACAGAGGATTAAAAATATGGAATGGTTTGCCTTCAGAAATGACATGTTTAACAAGTAACAAGTAAAACAGTTTTAAAAAGCGTTTAAAGAGACACCTAATGGCAAATAGGACATATTTTGATACATAATATCTGAGTATAAATCACTAATGAGGAACTTTTTGGGGATTTTCTTATCTCATTTATTCTATATCAACTATAAACACTGTTTTTATTGGTGGCACTAATATTATGTTTGAGCTGTATCAAATGTTTAATGACCACTTAGATATAATGTGGATATTTGTTGTTAACAGTTTTCTTGCTTTGTTTTGTTCCCTTTGTTTTTGATTTTTCAATGTTTACTTATTTGGAGCCCAGGAAGAGTAGTTGCTACCTTGGTAGTTGCTTATTAATTTCCAAATGAGTAAATACAGGCAGATGTAAGGATGGTATTGTTCTTCTCATCTAACTCTCAGCAAAAATAAATAAATACATGTATTAAGTATGGTCTATTTATAATATCCATTCAGGATCGAATGTGAATTGTCCGTTCTGGGCAGTGATATCCACCAATCTGTAACTACTACACAATATTCACAAATACATAGGGCTCATCATTTTTGAAGAAAAGGAAAGAAAATCCCCAGGAGTTTTAGTTTTTTGAAGTTTAGTTAAAAATTATTTTCATCTTCATTTTATCTCCCCATGCATCCAGAAAGTATGTTTTACAGTAAACAAGGTGCTCTTGTGAGTCCCTTGTTGTCAGTAAAAGAAAAACAATTAAATTTCAATTATGACAATAATGAGCCCTACAAATAGTATATGGCTTCTTATCAGCACAGATCCATCTAAAAACTAAACAAAGTGTTGTCTCTGAAAACAGACCAGTGATGAGGCCAATGCTACGTTTGGCCTGGAGTGTGTAGCAGTAGTACCTCCCCATAGCTGTAAGTGTCTAGCCTGTCATCAGAGGTGTATCTGTGGTAGGGCTGGTATGAGGAGGATATGAGGTCTGGCTGTTGGACCTCATATATGGCCTTGACCTTTGGCAGGGCAGCTAGGTCCTTATAATCTAGGAACTCATTCTTCACTCTGGCCTGGAGAGAGGACACACACATACACCCACAAAGACAACAGCAACAAGACCCAACATCAACCACATGGACAATGCACAGTTACAAGTAGAATGGAAACTCCACCACTGACAATGAGCAGATCATGCAGCAATGAGACCAGGTGAAAAAGAGCTGGTGAAGCACACACAAGCCTTCACATACACATATGAGTGTGTGCGCTAATCAAGAGTACACATGTACGCTGCAGAATCTGACAGCAGTGTAAGTTGTTGACCTTCAGGAGCTCAGCATGTGTGAGAAAGAGAGCAGAGGAAGCAAAGAGAAGGAGAGGGAGAGGAGACAGTATGGACGACAAGCATGCTTACACTGCATTTCTCCCTCATCCATCACCTTAAACAGAAAGGTCATTGATTATGAGACGAGAGCAGAGCGGGGCAGGGCTGAGCAGAGAGCGGTGACTCCTGCTTGCATGCAGACAACCCTTGACACGCTAATACTGCCAACATGCAGCAACACTCATCAGACTGCAAAGCAGCACAGTTGGAACTGGTCCAACTGTGCGATGTACAGAGCGACAACCTTCACACAAACCTGGTGTGCTCCCCAACTAGCCTCCATATAGTTTCATGTATGTCTATATATATCTCTTTGGTTTTATGGCCAAGAAGGACTGATTTGGTGATTTCTATGTCAAAATATGTCTATGTTAAAACATGGATCAATTTGGTTGAAATAGGAAAGTTTATGTAGATATCTAAGTTAAATTGAACCATTTTTTCACATTTTTAAATTCAAGGTTTCCTGCTTTGTTAAAGTACTAAAAATAAAAGAGCCTTTAATACTGTGGATTCATAATTATAAACAATACCAACATATATACACATATATATTGGTCTTAGTATAATAATACTTTATGTGCCTTTACTTTTTGGGGTTTCATTACTGAACAGTTTTAAGCCTACATACAAACTACTCAAGTAGGAATACCTCCTTTGTAACCTAGAAGTCTAAACAAGACTGAGAGTCTACAGCCATGCCAGTGGCTCTTTGAGGCTGTATTAAGGTACAGCGGTGCTCTGAGCTAAATACTAACATCAGTATGCTAACACACTCGAATACCTTAAAATTTCTTAAGTTTAGTAGGTAATGTTTATTATATTATATTATAGTGTAGTCTGCATAGCATTTGCTAATTAGAAATAAACACAAAGTACAGATGTCATTTATTTCAGGTATTTGGTCTAAAACCACTGGACACTGGACAAATTCAAATTTTTATGATGAGCTGGATGAAAAGTCAATTGATCATCAAAGTCACTGGGATTCATCCTCTGGAAACCTTGAATATCTGTACAAAATGTTGTAAATGTAGATATATTTCCCTGGATGTTTGATAACTTTCACCTGATGTTGGTGCCGATTAGAAACCCAACTGATTACCACAGTCATTAGGATTTAATGAATGTTTGTGTAAGATTTTAATGGTCATCCATCAAATAGCTGTTGTCAGAGCAACATTGCTGAAAAGTTTTCATCCAGATGCCCGGTTTTAACGGACATGTCTGGGTATTTTTCCACGTGCAAATCACCATATCAATCATTTCTGGGAACTACTGACTGAAGATCTACCTGTAGATGTTCCTCCTCCCAAATCACTAATGACGACAGAAGTTAGGACACAGACGAAGTGAACAGGCCAAGGGAGTGAGCAGCCTCTCAGGTTGGTGCTTAACCATTCAAGCCTTTAGGTAGTGCTTGTGTTTCTGGTGTAGCAATTGTGCTTTTACAGTAAGATCATTGGCAATGGCAGTTAAAAGTCACTAAAAGCTGTAAAATTATAGGCTACTTACACATATAACCCTACTGGGAGAGCCTATGGAGGAGCCTGGTGGAGAGATGGAGGCCTCCGACAGGCGTCTGTGCTGTGAGGTACAAAACGACAAAGAAAAAAAAAAGATAGGGGAGAATGCACACAGTGAGGAAATGACAGTTTTCCCTTTATTTGAACATTTTCATTTTAAACTCTTTCTCACCCTGAGTCTCCTCTCTGCCCTCGCTGCCTGCTTGCATAATGGGTGCCACACCTCACATCCTGAAGAAGAGCGAGAGAGGGAGAGAAGACAGATTGGCATTGGGTGTTCCACAAGCCATGCATTCCTCTCCATGTGCATGTACTCTACAGTATGTGTGTAAATGTGTGTGTGTGTGTCCATGTCAGTGTGTGTATGTAATGGCATCAAGTTTCACCTGTCAGGTACATTTCCTCTCCCTCTTTGAACATCAAGTTACAGCGGGAGCATCGAGCGCAGGTCGGATGGTAGTGTTTCCCTCCCGCCTGTGCGGAGAGAAGAAGAAGAAGAAGGTGTGACTGAACATAAATTATCATCATAAACAGTTTCACAGAGGGAGGGCTAATCTACAAATTGTGCCCCCACCTTGAGCAGGTCATTATCTCCATATGTTTTCTACTGTATATCACCTGACCACCAATGGCCTCGTAATGTACTGAGACATCATTGCATAGCCTGAAGTTGTTTCATCAGCATTCAGCAATCACATGATAGCCACCACCCATTCTCCTCCATGCCATAATTAGAGCAAAGATCCCTGTAGGTCAGTCACATGAAGTAAAGTAATGGATTGTGTGTGTGTGTGTGTGTGTGTGTGTATGTATGCTACAGAGAAAAATAGGGAAGTAGGTGGCCATGTAAGTGAAGGACACAAGAGCGCAATACATGTCCTTGGACATTCATAGTGCCCGGAGGGAACACGTCCAAACACACGTGGCGCAGGTGATACGGACACATGAAAAGATGCAGTATGATGTCACTGTGTCCATTAATCGAGTCCGGTTCATGATCCTGATGTTTCTCACATGTCTCTGCAGGGGGCGATGGCTGAGGCATGGCCCGTCCCATCACCTCTGACTCCCTGACTCAGGGAGGGTCTATTTATAGAAGCACATACGGTATCACACATGTGGCCTTGTCAAGGAGACCTGAACTGTTTCATGTGAACACACCCAGCATACGTATGTGTGTGTGTGTGGTATTATGTCATTTTATGCTACACTCACTTTCCCTGATTTTTAGAAAACTGATACCTTTTTGTGATCTGCAGGAGTTCAGGCCTTTTTTGACGAATGTGCTCTCTCCAAGAGCTGCAAGTGAACAGTACAGTTCCTTAATCGTATCTAAGCTGCATTTGAACCAATCCCTGCTCTGCTTGTCTGTCTCAGGTTACTCTGAAAGGAAAGCCAGGAGAGGATGCAGCATTTCCGTCTTGTGCTTTCCGAGCAGCAGAGCATTTACTGTCTGTGGTCATATGGTATCAGTTTAACAACTGCTGTTACCATTTCTAATGAGGCCCCCATTCTCTCCGTTGGTATTTAATAGGCTGCTATATTTATTGGGGAACTGAGGAAGTAAGGGGAAGGAAAGAAGTGAAACTAAAGAAAGGAGGTATTATGCACCTCTTTCTCCTCCTTCCTGTTTCTCCACTTCTCCATCTATTCTAAACTACTCATTAAAACTAACAACCACTGGCTCTAGAAAGTTGGACTAAAGAGGGGCTCTGAGGAACAACTCTAATCATCAACACGGATGCAAACACAGACAGAGAGAATAGAGAGATCAGTATGGCAAAGCAACTCTACCGACAGTGTGATGAAGTGATACTTTAAATTTGATTTATTGGCATTTGTGCAATAATTATTTCACAACAAAAACCAAAGGATAAGACAAACTAATGGACAATTAAACTGATTACTGATTTTGTACCTTATCTTGTCTTATTAACGACCTTAACGACCTGCATGCATCTGTGGAAACACAGCGTTTTGTGTCCACCTCACACACAAACCAGCATGTGTGGATAAATATGAAGGGTGGTAAGGTCAGCCACCATGTCGCCCCGGATGTACGTATGCGGTTTTACAACATGGCTATTCCAGGCGGACACTTTTTGTGTTTACTTTCAGTCAGACTCAGAAACAAGTGTTTGAAATTATTCATTTAAAAACAATGTTATTTGGAAAGTCCTCATTTCCCCAAATCTCTATAACAGAGGTGGCAAATGCAAAATTAGCTTGACCCATAGAGTCACAATGGCTGCATTTGAAAAATATGTTGCGGTTGAAATATACCAGATTTTTTTCTGAAATAATATCTTAGTCAAAAGACTAAAAGTCAAGTGAAGTCAAGTCAATTGTATCTATATTGCCCCATGTTACAAATCACAAATCTTCCTCAAAGGGCTTTACAATCAAAACAACACAAATGGAGGAAACCTCAGGAGTAACAGAGTAGGGATCCTTCTCTCAGGATGGACAGACATGCTAGATGTCTTGTGTAAAGAATACACCAATGTAAAATTACAGTATGGAAAATCAGGATGATAAAATAATAGATAGATTGATAGATTCAACTAAATAAAATCAGGTGCCACATTAAATAGAATTGATATCGTATTCTTATCCTAAATGTATACTGTAAGTTTGAGGAGTTATTGTTCATGGACCTTCTGTGAGTCAAGTCAGATGCATGCTGCATCCTAAAGAAGTAAATCATTATGATATCAAAATTTGTCAGGTGAAAAGAATGGAGGTGGTGCGTGCAAGCACACACCAATGTTCAGAGAGTGAGAGAAAGAGACATAGAGAGAGAGGGAGACTTACAGATAAAGGCTGACATGTCCCCATGTCTATAAATAGCCCAGAGAGGAACAAAGCACTTTACACCAACCATTCTGACAAGCAAAGGAGCACAGGGACAACAAGGCACTGTGTGTGTGCTAAAGTGTCTGTGCGTGTGTCTGACAAAGTTTTACTACGTCTGCTCTCTTTCCTCAGGTCCCAGAAGACAAGAGAGACTCTCCAGAGACTCTTCCAAAACATTTAATTAGCATCTGCACTTTATCACTTTCATTATTTTCAACCCCACTCCCTTCATTATTTTCCCTTATGCCTCTGTCCGCCTCGGCTCTGTCTCCTCCGCTCTCCTCTCTCCACTGTTGACTCCTTCTTCCCTCACTTTTTAAAATTGCTTCAGCGTAAGAGCTTGCAAAGCACAAATGCTTTTCTATCACTGCAGAATTTGCTTTCCATGTCTCTCCTCCTTCCATCTTCTCCCTTCACTTTTTACCCTCTGATCTTTATATAACTCCCCTTTCCTCTCAACTCCTTACACGTTGTTATGATTCAATCTAGCTTTTTGCCTCCTGCCTGAGTTCTGCTCAACAGCGAACAAGTGGATATGCGCCAACGTTTGACCAGGCTAACACGCTGCAGCTGAATTTGTTTTGGTTTAGTAAAGAAGCAGCACAAAATTCTTATCAACCCCCCCAATCTTAAGTCGTTCACTCCCTAAAGCACAGCGGGGCTTAAAGGGAGCCGAGGATAAAATGCAACTGCTCAATTCTGATAGCGCTGATTACACTGAGTTAACACAGTCAGCTCCCAATTTGGATTTCTGTATTGCTGCAGAATTCTGTGCAGCAAAATCTCTGTTAACACTGTCTCATGTTGACATCTGGACCCGTTCTCACCTCCAGAACCCTTCCACTGATGTATCTGCTGCAGGTCTCACATTTCACCCCATACTGGGCGTGGTAATCTGCCTCACAGTATGGCACTCCATCCCTGCAACAAAGAGAATAAAAACAAAACTGCTGTAGTAGTGTGTCAAATGCAGGAGAGAAAAATCCACTGTCTGTTTGTATGTGTTCTTTGAGTGAGACAATCAAATGCTTTGAAATGTTGCGTTTCTCTGGGTTTTTCTCTTCAAACACTTACTTGCTGATGTACTCTCCTGTGAGGACCATGTTGCAAGTCCGACATCTGAAGCAGCTGACGTGCCACTGTTTCTCCAGTGCCAGGAGAGACTGACCCTGCTTGATCTCATCTCCACACCCAGCACAGTCTGGAGAAGAGCAGTGTGAGAAAGAGAGAAAAAGACGAATAGGAAAAGAGATATGTAGAGGGAAGGAGGAAGGCAGTGAAGAGAGGAAATTTAGTGCAGAGGAGAAGAAGGGAGTGGAAGAGAGAGAGGAAGACAAAGTGAGCCAAGGTGTAATTGTAGGTCTTTAACACCTACTGTGCTCCTGTGTAGTGTAGTTTTCTACCCGCCTGTGGCACAGCCACCTCCTTAATCAATAGCCGCACTAATGCGGGATATTGCAGAGCTGTGAAGCTTGTTCTCTCAACTGTAAGCACTATTAAACATGATTGAATGGAGGCAGGAAGCATGTATCACTGAAATAGCCTCAGGGCAAAAACAGTTGCATAAAATCCCCCTCACATGAAAACACACATTGTACACAAGAATAATGTACATTCCATTTCCCACAGAAAGATGCTCCATCAGATGTTATTGAACACCACTAACAGGGCAAGAAAGACGCAGGACAGCATGTCAAAATACTGAAAAAGGTCAGCGGTCCATTTGTTTCCATTTGAAAGACGTTTGGTTTAGTTTAACCTTTTCTGACCCGGTCTACTGCCCCTGAGAGAAGCCTGAAGTCACAAGGGACCACTCCAATCTGACCTGTCAGCCAAGACAAACTGTGTTTCACAGTAAAAAACTGCAGTGTATTGAGTTCCTGCAGTCCAAAATAAATCTTAACTGTCATTTGGTGGTGATAGTGCTGAGTCTATAGAGCCAGGACTTCAGCCCCAGACTGTTATTGTGCACAGCTGATTTTCTTCTGAGTCATGACACAGATCCCATTTTAGCCACCAAATGAAATTGTTGTTACTAATGTAACAGACCTTGTGACAAGAAATGGTTAGGTATGGTTATATAAAAATTCACACATTGGTTCGCGGAATGATTTGCATAACCACGATGCTTTATATACAAAATACCCTAAATTACCTTTTGGGAAATACGGCCTTACACACTTTCACTAAAATAATATTACATCCACTCTATCTATCTGTCCATTCAATATGAAGCTACAGTCAGCAGGCATCTTAGATTACCATAAAGATAGGGAGAAACAACGAGCCTGGCTCCATCCGAAGGGAACAAAATCCACCTACCAGCACCTCTAAAGCTCAGTATTCAACATGTTATATCTCTAATTTTGTTACCTTTGAACAGAGCAAGCAACTGTGCTGAGATAAGCCTGCCGATGTTTCCACTAAGATTTCAAATTGTTGAAATACTGCTTTAAGGAGACTAAAAGGGGGATTAAAACAGAGAACTGAAATGTTTATTAAGGTTATAAAACTAAATTTCTCAGGGTAAGGGTTTGTTCACTGATGTGTATATAAGCAAATATTCATGGATATTTTCCATTATTTCATGCATGGCCTTCTCCCCTAAAATAATAATTTGAACTGGCTAAATGGATTTCTTCCACTTTGGCACACAGAGCATATATTTGCATACTTAAATATCCAGATTCGAGAAGAACAGGCTGTAAAAGCCAGTGCATTACATTTAGTGCCTGCACTCTGTGTCCCGTCTCATAGACTGCCTCCTCATAAGACAGAGTGATGGACATGTACCTGGGGAGCCATTTGGATTTTATTCTCCTGAATGGAGCGATCTGGGAAAGACAGTTATTCACTGCCTCCCCACCATCTGTTATTACTGCACAGCCAGTGAGCAGCAGCCTGCTGTCTGTATGCCACACTTAACAAATGATTCGCTATCAATCACTATTGCTCTATTGTGGGTTCATAATTTGTAATTTTCCTGCTTTATATTGAAAAGGAGAGAGCTATGCACTCTTCCCACATATACCTGTCCTATAATGGCAGCTCATTATTTACCTACAGTATGTAACGGCAATGTAGCACTTGTGTGAAAGATGTACAGTAGGCTATGTGCTCATGCAGGAGTACAGTGAATACACAATATCCTCTATTCTCTGCATGTTGACAGTAATGAATGAATGATGTGTCTGTTTGCGTTGCATAATTCTCAGCGGGCAGATCAGCACGACAGGTTGGACAACAGATCTGACAGACACTTGATTAGCTAAATGAGCTAAATGGGCCTCATGGACACATCGTATTAGACTCAGCAGCACCGCAATGCCTGGTGGCCCTAAACAGAACGGACAGAGCAAGGCGGACGCTGGACTTACGGCTGGGCCCGTGGATCTTGATCGGTTCATTTGACTTGACGAGTGTATGAGAGCACTGCTGGCACACGCAGTCCTTTCCACTGAATGTCACTCTGTCTCCGATGGGAAAGGGTTTACTGAGGAGGGGAAAAAACAGAGAGAGAGAGAGAGAGAGAGAGGAGAGAGAGAGAGAGAGAGAGAGAAAGAGAGAATTAGAAAACAAGCACACAATAGGAGATAAAATTGCCTGCAGTGATTCTGTGTGTTTACATTACATCCAAGTGTACACATGGAAATAGCAAATGGGTGGTGGCAGAAACATGATTAGGTGACAGACAAGCCATAATCCTGCTGACACAAGCTAAATACAGTCTCACATCCTCTATGAACCTGAAAGTACATTTCCAAACAGTTGGGGCGGCGAGTTAATAGGACGTTGATTGTTGCAGGAGCACCTGGCTGCTCTGTGATTAAAGAGGCGATAATGTGACGCTGCCACAGGCTTGTAAAAGGAAAACTGGCTCTCTCAATGAGAATGAAAACTTATTAGGGAGACTGTGTGGAGTGCATACTGATCCTAACTGCCTCTTTCTCTCTCAGTCTGTCCGCCCAGCTCTCTCTTCCCTAGCTCACTCCGTACACAGCTGGTGCCACCAGGTCACTGTTATCTTCACTGCTTTAAAGTTAAACAATTAAATATACACACACGCAGACAAGCAGAGAACATGGCAGCAAGAGGAATCGCCTAGGAAGTCAAATTTACCATATCATGATGCACCGTCTCGTCCCTCTTCCCTCTTCTATAGTATTTGCGTATCGACAGATTGATTTCTTTAGGACGTGAGAATGAATGGGAAGCTAAAAGGCTTAGGGAAGGCTGTTTAAAAGACATAGACGGCAGTAATCCTTTTACTCCCCCACCGAGCCCTGGAGCTGGAGCCAAGACCCAGAGGGAGGCTTGAGTCTCCAGCAGAGCTCACAGTCAGCACACAAGAGTGTAGCACATCCATGTATGCACTTAGAGATGTACAGAGGCAAGCATGAATAAAGGCTTGTGCAGTATAAGTTTACACGCAGCTATGGAGGTTGTGAGCCCTCTAATGTGTGTTTCTAGGGAGATAGGAGTATTTTACAACTGTTTCTGTCAGTAAACTGGCACATACAGTGTTCTAGGTTTGCTCCTTTGTGCTTTTATGTTATTCAAAAAAGGACAACATCCATACATAAAACAGAAAGGACATAAAGTAAGCAGAACATATGAGCCAGCAGGGACATTTCACAACGCAAATTATTCAACAAAGGCTCTGGTAAACACTGAAAGGGACACAAGTCAATGAAAATTGATAAAACGTATAATTCATTTAGACTTTATTTTAATTTCACCCTTCAGTTGGTCCCAAGGTTAACCATCTGTTCGAAAAACTATTTTCTATTTCTAATTTAACTAACAGGCCACACTGAGCAAAACATGGAAAACTAGAAAAGTCTGTATTTGACACACAAGGCCGGTTTTCAAGGTTTGTATCTGTGTCCAGCTCCAAGCATGACAATCTTTCACATGTATTAAAGTGCCTGACCATTAGTAGACTAGTCTATAGTCCAACTTGTGCACAGGAAATTCTGTGATGGTGAAGAAGGGTGTGTTTGACCTTGTCTTTACCTGTGCGTTGCTCTCACTCCCTCAAGACATTCTTGCCTTGTCAGCCTTTCTCAGCACTTTAAAAATTTACTCTGTTTACATATTTAATGCATGTTTTTTTTTTAACTGGCCACAGAAGTAAAGCTATTTCTGGCTTCAGGGTATGAACTCTGGCTTTGATCACCAGCTTTTTTACAAAACATCAGCAAGGAAAAGTGAAACTTGCAGTCTGGTTTCATTAGAGCTGATGACAAAAGAGAAAATGGGACGATGATGAAGACATAAAGGAAGATTATGTGATGCGGATGATGATTAAGAGCAGGGAGATGATGGCGGTAATGATGAGGATGAGGATGAGGAGGAGACAGAGAAGGAGGAGGGGAGTTTGGAGGAGACAGACAGGAGGGGATAGAGGATGGGGAGAAATAGAGGAGGTACATAAAAAGACTGTGAGCAATGTGACAGAGGGCAGACGGAGCAGGAAAGAAGAGATTCACCCTTCGGCTTCTTGCTGTCTCTTCCAGTTGACTCCACATACACTGACATACACACACAGACACACACTCACACAGACATCCCTGTCACTGCCAGGACTGCTCCACTGGCTGTCTCCGGCCAGTTGGTGTCAGTTCAGTTTTTCTGCCCACGTCTGCTGGGCATGGCCGCATGTTTATTAGCCAATGTCAAGCAGATACAGGACAACAGACAAACACCACCCTCCTGGAGGGAGGCGAAGAAAGACAGCTCTTATGTAAACCTTATAACACGTCAAAAAAGACAGGGAAGAAAGGAAGAACGATATACAGACATACCATGCGAAGAAGAAGGGGCTTTTTAAGAACAGAACATGAAAGAGAAAGAGAGGAAAGAGCGAAGTGGTGAAATAAAAAGAGGAATGGAGCCAACAGGGCTTCTGACTCTTAGTTCATTCAGGAGGAGCTTAACATGAACACTGATGGAGGTCAGAGGAGAGATGGCCTACTTTTACTAAATCTAAGAGTGTGAAACTCCAGGTCAGCTCTCTTTTTGGAATCGTGTCTCGACTAAGCAAAACGACAGACAGCTCGTGCTTGCCAATCAGACATTTATTGACATTCTCGAGCTGAGATAAGACTGAATCATGAGCTCAGGCATTGGCATTACTCAACGCACAATAAAGAGATGAGTCACCTTTGCATTTCTTAAATTGAAAGATGCAACTTGTGTTGTATCATTTGAGGGAGGATTGCAAAGTCATGGGGCAGAAAACAGTGACTCATGGTAGAGAAAGATAAAACAGTCATACATTTCTTATTCAGTAGCTCCACAATTCCTCCTTCTGTTCTCAGTCTTCCCCTCTATCGTGCTATTTTCTGACAGTCTATTTTCACGGGGGAATCATAAGTTTTGTGCTATATCAGAGTACTGAACAGATACAGAACAGAACAGAAAAAGAAGTGGTGAACTCATGCACAGCACGCACACAGTTATCATACAATATGTTGCCTGTTATGTTTAAGTAGCAAGGGTAAGTGTGTGCTACTTAAGTGGGCATTATTTATAAAATCTTTATCATATATTATGATATCAATACATATTGTGAGATACTTTTTCTGAAAAACATTAGAATGGAACAAGAAATCTGTTTGAGGATAAAAAAAAAAACTGTATTTTTGTTTTTGGCTAATCCTGCATTGTAAAGCTCTATTAATCAATATTCCTATTGTATAATATGAAAGGTGTCGAGTGTTGTGAAAAACTCACAGAGAATTATCACCTAACTGCAGTTCCTAACTGTGCTGTTTTGTTCACTCTCACCGCTATCATCAACCCTGTTTGCACCCACAGCAGGCAGCTGCTTTCAGCAAAAAGCTCTGACAAACCCACGGTACGCTAACTGCCTGGCACCAAACAGCCAGCGACTTGTTGGCGAACACAGAGACTGAATATTGCACTTCCATTTATTGGGTGGCCAGAAACCCAACTCCATATCCAAATGTTAAGGCTGCTCTGTGTTTGCTGGATGTGAAAATAAAAGAAGAGTAAATATTGCATTTATATTTGCCAGGTGATCAAAAACACAACTCCAAATCTATAATGTTGCTGTATAATTACCCAACCATATGTGTTACCTTGCTTATACTGTACAGTAGGGGATTGTGTGTCTATTGTGTGTGTGCATGTATACCTGCAGACGCTGCAGACAAAGCACTTGGGGTGGTACGTGCGTCCCAGAGCGGAGACCACCTCTCCTGTGATGAAGCTGTCACAGCGGTCACAGCGCGTACCATACAGGCGTTGATAGTCTGCCGTACAGATGTACTCGCCCTTCTTCTGGAAGAAGCCGGATCGCGCCAGATCACAGTTACACACTGTGGAGAGAGCAGGTGAGACAAAGTGAGAAATCAGGACACTAAAAACACTAAAGCATATAGAATAACCTGTGGATAAGAGGAGCAACAGATGTTAACAATATTTAATGCTATTTTGGCTTCCCATCCAAAAAAAACTAAACACTGGGGTTTCCATCATCTGTCATATGCTGTTAAAATCAAATTAAACAACACACTTGCATATTTAAGAGTTTTACAAGTCCCATTTTTCTTTTCCATGTTTTGTTCCATTACACATTACAGTCTGAGCCTCTTTCTGTTACCTGTTTGTGTGTGCATGTGTGCTTGTTTGTGCTGTGTTTGTCTTCACACATGACTGCTAGTGAAGTTATTCAGCTCCAGACAGTGGTGAGCCAATTTTCTCTGATGGGAATATAATGTTATAATCAGTGGAAAAGTAATTTTGTTCTAAACAATGTGAAGCAGACAAAACAATAGGCTGCGAGTTCCCAGCATCATCAGTAAATCGACTACAGTCTCATTAAATACCAATGGGGAAGACACCAAAATCATTTGCTGCGTATGCACAAGGTGAGTGCTCAGTTTGTATGGGTATGTGTGTCTCTAAATTGTGTATCCTAAGCAGACAATATGTGCTACAACACTTTGCCATGTATCTGAGAGTGAATTCCAGTGGGTGTAACTATATAGCTAAGAGGCATTCTCACAGATCAGTGGCCATTGTGGTTACTGGTCTCTGGTTTCTCACAGTCTATGCGGCTTACCAACAGGAAGAGTTGACAGTTATTGTAACCTCCGGCTGGAAAAAATGCTGTGACCTGACACACATGGCACTGATGAAGGTCACATGTGGTTTAAAACAAATCCAGATTTCCACCTTTTTCAAAAAGTCCACCTAACCCAACCTCTCAAACTATGCCTTTAATGCCACTCCCTGCATCAAGACCTACTACAGGACAATAAAAAAAGCTTCCCTAGCCCTTTCTGCATGCCAGTCCAACACAATAATTTGTACTCAACACAGAGACTCTAAATGATTCCTAAAAGATGAATGGACATCTGGTTTTCTTAGACACGAAGAGCAGATTCTCAGTGTACAAACCCACAGATCCTCCTGAAGGGCCTGGAGCTTTGATGAAACCTGACGGAAGTATTTATATTTGACCAAAGCTGAGTCTGTAAGTTGTCTAAACTGCTTTAATCAAATTCTTTCCTAAAATCTGTAATTGATCTGAATGTAGTGGGCTTTCAAAAAAACAAAAGATACATGCAACAATAATTACCACTGAAAAAACATATACAGCAGCTAAATCACTGACCTTTATCACAGCATTAAAAACTGCTAATCATGAGGATAACAATATCAAGTGCAACTGCTAAAAACTGCTTGTTTGCTGCACAGTGCCAGGAAATGAAGGTACATTGTGCCACAGTAAATAAAGCAGTAAACATTTTAAATCATTCAGCTTGTGGTGGTAATGAAGCTCCTTGAATACCAACAACTTGCTGTTAATAAATGCTTCACCGTGGCCGGGCTATAGACACTGGAGTTGCTGCAACAGGCTAAATCTGGCTCCCTATAGCCACCAGTTTTCAGTGTATGCTGGCAGGCTGAGAGTTCGCAGACACACACACATGCACATAAACCCTTCAAAGGGGCTCATTTAATCTCAAGCTGTTTATGAGTGGAGCGTATTGACTTAATGGTGTAATAAAAGATCAATGGGCCCTCACTTAAAAACAAAACAATCTTGGCTCCCACAGGAGGATGGAAACACATAAATCCATCCCCGATGAGATGGCACTGCGCGTATGCAGAGATGATGAAATGGGACAATGTGTGTATGGTGAGATATGATGATGGATCTTTATCATTGCGACAGGTCATTGGTATCAGGGCAAGGCAGCTGCAGAAGCGCAGACAGGAGGAAAGCTAAGAATGAAGGAAAAGGGGATGCATGAGGAAGACCAGAACTAAGATTTAAAATAGCCTGTTTATAAAACTGTGTGTGTGTGTTTGTATGTGTGTGTGTGTGTGTGTGTGTGTGCAAACCACATTTCCAGAACCACTGAACAATGGCACAGAGCTTCAAAAAAGTCAAAGTGTGCAAGTCAAAAAACCAGACTAACTAAGGCTCATACCAGAAACCCAAATCACAGGCTATCTGATGCCTTCATGGAAAAGGGGAATGAGAGAGTAAATATTTCCACATCTACTGAATGCTTCATAATGGAAAAAGAAATATCTATGTGATTTGAAATGGTCCATTACATTAATTTAATAAAAACGTTTTTAATCTTCTAAAACTAAACTGTAGTAGAAATTGGTCTCCTTTTTTTCTCCTCTTTTCCTCCCCCCTTCTCCCTGCCTCTGTTTCTTTCAAAATGATTTGCTTTTCAATCTGCGCCCAGATTGATTTTCAAATTACTGGAATCTGCTCAATTAGCCTAATGCACTTCATTAGCATATGGACGCCTGACCAAATTACAGCCGGCCGACTGGATCTGCTCAGACTGGATTGGATGGGCTGGCTGGATGGTTCACCTGTTCTGGCTAATCACATTGTTTTCCTCTGACTGGACGATTGGCTGGATGCATTGGAAAGGACGCCCCCCTTCCTCAGTTGCCATAGGAGACGTAAACCCTTCCACAGTTGCCCTAGAGACAGCTAGGTCCCTAGTCTGAATGATGTGGTGGTGCTGGTGGTGGCACATTTGGTTTTGTTGTGGTTAAACTCATGCTGTATACAAAATGTTTTCAGAAATGATACTGTAACTTTAAATCAGTTTGATACCTGCTGTGATGGCAAAAAACATTTAACTGAAACATTACAATCAAGTTTTCACTTAAAGTTGACAAAACTAAATGGTCATCTTTAATTTGTTAAGTTCTGACCAGCAACGATGTATGATTTATGAAAGCCGATTAAAGGCACCATCAATAAATAATAGACCATGTAAACTCCATGTAAAGGTATATTTACATGTACTGTATCTTGAGTTATAGATGGAAATTAAAATAAAAGTTTTGTGTGTTTTTCAGCTAAAATTTGGCCCTGATTTACTGCGGTGTTTGCAGACATCACAACCTCTCACTTCAGCAAGTAAACACATACAGACTCACACACCCCCCCACACACACACCATAAACACTTCATTTCAGGCAGCTGTCCAAAGAAAACAGTGTATCTCCAAATGTTTCTTTATTAGTTGAGAAATTACCCTACTTTTAAAGCTAAAAATCCATCTTATTATCTAAAAAACGCAATGCAGACAAAGGCTGTTTTTATTAGTTCACAGGACAGCTGTTTGTTTTCTAACTACAACTATTCGCTTTGTTACCTGCAACTGATGAATCAGATTGAAAAACTTTGACTTCTACAGTTTACCTCTGGAATAACAAGTGTAACTTACAAGTACAATGACAATAAAGTTAAGAATCTACATTTGCACCTGTTAAAGGGCACCTTGATAGATCCAACTTTTAGATCTTTGAAAAAGGACCATTCCTTAAACCCTTTTAGAAAAAGGCTCAATTTTTTACAACCTACTAACAAGCTGGCCCTATACTTTTCAAGTTCTCTCATTTTAGCTTTAACCATTAAGCATAAGTTTCAAATGTATCCCTCCACATGTTGCAGTTGCCAGCACAGTGGGTGGAGTTGGGTCAGAGCTTGGCGTCACTGCTGCTGCAGAGATGTGGCTTAGCTTAGCCCCGAGAAGAAAGGCTTTGGTTACAGCCGCACAACCAGGACCACATGATGTGGACACCCACCCATAAAAACAACAGCCCAATACAACCAACATAGACCCAGCCTGGTCTGTTTCACTGTCCTATGAATGGCCTTTGGAGATTTATACTCTAGCTACTCGTGGGAAAGTGCACACAGTTGCAGTTGAAACTCATAGTTATGAAAAACGCCAAAGTTAATGAAAAGTTTTGTTTATATAAGAACTATGTATTATTTTACAGAGACATATTTAGATTCATCATACATTAGCTAAAACCAAACATAATCAGCCTTGCAAGACTAGATCAAAGACTTCATTTCATCTATTTGCTCATTTTCTGATCTTTCCCTGAATGGCGCTCTAATGAGGGAAACTAAAAGATGCTCTCCTTCATATTGCTCTTTTTTGGCAATGCAGGAAGTTAGCATCTAAAGAGCATAAGTCTAGTGATTAGAGGTTAGCATGTAGGCTGGAGTCTGCAGCTGTGGTCATTAGAACCGCAGTGATTAGGCATCCACAGGGGGTCCGCATGATTGGGTATTTATCTCCAGCCAACAGACGCAATTAAAATTCCCTTCCTCAAAGTCGGCCCAGGCCGGAACCCCAAAATAGTGCTGAAACCCCCTTCTCCTCCACTTCTCTGTCTCTGTCTTTCCGTTTCACGACTGCTTCCAAATCTTTGTGGCTCCGAGCACAAGGTCTCCACTTTATCTCAATTTGCACCTTTTCTCACTACAAGACTGGACCTCCATGCAATCTCCCCTTTCTTTCTCTTCCCCGTTCCCCCGCGGTCTCTCTTCGTCTCTTCCCTGAGCTAATTATATTACTGCTGGGTCTACATAATGTGCTATTAAGTAAATGGACATGCTTTACAGTATGTCAAAGTAGCCTGCACATTTGTAATTGTTTTACTGCTGCTGTCAACATTATGCTAATTTCCAAGGCTTTTTCAAGCTAATAGCCGCAGCCACAGTTTAGCAGAGAGGCATGTATGTAGTGGGGCAGTGACAAGTTCCAGCAGGGGAGGTACTCACCTATTCACCCCCACATCTGTGCTACCAATGTGAGGCCCAGCCTCCTCTGCCCTCCTCCTGTCCCCTGGATCTGAGCCCTCTGACAGACGGAAACACTTCAAGAGTAAATAATGTGTTTTCTCAAGTTGTGCCAAATCGCAGGCTGGGAGAGGAGGCCGTCAGACACACAGGAAGAGGAGTGAAACAAAAGTCGACAACCACACTAGTGGCTTTGTGAGGCTGTGCTCAGGCATGGTACTTTCAGTTAACATT